CGGGTCGAGGTGTACATATAAACAGGGTGCATATTGCCTAAAATCCTAGCCACCCCCACAGCAACAGCCACAGCCACACCCACACCGACACCCACATCCTCACACACACACCGACACCCTTACGCTGTTTTCCGGGAAAATCTGTGACAAGCTCACTTTTGTGTTTTTTGGTGTCGGTGTGAGTGTCAATGTTGTTGTGGAAACTGTGAAGCGCAAAATCACGCCCATGTGCAGCCGCTCTAAAGCCCAAAATAAAATGAAAACAGAAAAAGTATTTTGATGTCTGCTTTGCCTCCTTTGTTTCTTTTTCAAAGTGTTTTTAAGTATCCACTCCAATGTGAAGAACTTCACATAGCAACATCAATAACTGATGATGAAGCTGCATAACAAAACTCATTTCATTCCTGTTCGATTATATTTATTTCACATAGAGTAAAGTCATTGATTGTCATTTCTATGCTGTGAGACGCGTGTTAGTTTACTAAAGTACTGCCCGCCGAGTGACTTTCGAATTTGCACAGCGCCTCACTGTTTTATTCTAACCAGTCTGAAGGCAACCCTGGGCTTTCGGTAGCTGAATCTCGATCTATATGGCTAAAGTAAGTGAATGGAACTTTAAACTTATGCTGCCAACGAAAAAAAGAGGAAAAAATGTGTGTCTAAGCAACAGCAGATGGGGTAGTATGAAGAAAGATGACGAAAAATCCAGTACGAACATTAATGATGAATACCTTTGTCATGGTCGTTAGATGAACGAAACCATAGCGAAGTAATTATCATTGTGGGGTGTGGTTGTGGGGTGTTGCTTCGCATGTGAGTATCAGAAGAAGAGAATGTAGTGGCGTATCTAGAACAGTGGCGACTCGCTGCCGGTGATGGGGCAGTGGAAGGTGGCGCCACTCTCATTTTGCTGTTAACTTTTTAACTAAATGTTATGAAGACCTGAATTTTTTATCACAATCTAGCCCTAGCATGTAGTATATATGATGAAAATGTCAGGTCTTCATAACATTTAGTTAAAAAGTTAACAGCAAAAAAAAGAGTGGCGCCACCTTCCACTGCCCCATCACCGCCAGCGAGTCGCCACTGTTCTAGATACGCCATTAAGAGAATGCCACATATACACCCGCAACCACACCCACACCCATACCCACCCACATCTACACTCATACCCACACCCACACACACCCACACCCACACCCCACACCCACATCCACAGACCCACACGCACACCCACACTCACATCTATATTTGGACACTTTTATAAATCTACAGAACCTTTTCGAAGGGTTCTGCAAAACTCCATTTTTTTCAGAACGCGCCTACACCTCACAGCCAAGCCCTCGCACCCGTACCATTGCATCCACCATACACCCACACTCACTACACACACAGCCATACCTCACAACCACGTCCTCGCACCCATACCCTTGCAACCACCCACACCCCAATCTCTCACCTTTGCACCCACCCATACCCACACCCATCCAAATCGACACCCACCCAGACCCACCGCACACTCGAACAAATATTGTTGACTATTTATGAATGAAGTCGGCAAAGTTTGCAGCATTTTTTCTCATAAAAATACAATTTCTTCCAACAAGTTATTTTTTTACGTCTAAAATTATACTATGGAAATGTTGTGAACAGTACTTTTGTCAACAGAATGATATAGCAACTCTCGAATTTGCTGGTGTTTTGTTGTTCTCCCGATGGTCGTGGAGTTTGCGGTATATAGGCATCTGCGCCATGAAAAGCTCTTTCGTGCTTTTTCTAAAAGAATAGAATCCAATAAAGTTATTTTCATGGTGTGCGGCGAGTGAATTTATTCTGAAGAAAAAAGTGCTTCTTTTTTCTCCATCGCCTTCAAGATTACTTTTTAGATATCCTTCTGCTTCTAAACTTTCTCAACTTTTGGAGCATACAAGAAAGAAATAACTTTAGTCATAGATCATTTCAAGATGGCCAACGAGAATGATTCTTTGTATGTAAAGTACTCACTGAGAATTGGCTCGTCGCTATATCATGTGCTGGGTGAGCCGAGAAAAGGTCATCGAAATAAATACGATTATTTTGTTGTTGACAACAGAATTATTCACCCTAAATCAGCTAGACTTTCATCGAGACATCGATCTGCTGTTCGCCGTTCAGACACTCAAGGACACGCAGGGGCATCCAAAAAGCAGTCAAAAAAAATTGACCACATTCGATCAGCATCACAAGAACATGTAAAGTTTGTTCCTGTCGAAATCAAAGAAACAATTGCTGATATGATAAACACTGAAAGAGAAAGATTAACCACTTCACTTTCCAAAACAATTGACACAGAAAGAAATGCTTGGCTTGAACTAATGAAGAAAGAAGCAACTTCTATAGAGGATCAGAGGCAAGAAATGCTTCGTCTATTCGAAGAAGGCAAACGTTCATTGAAGAAACGTACAGATACGCTTCCTATTGATCTTATTCAACGAACAGTCAAAGAGACACTCATTACTCAGAATGAATCATCGACTACACTCGAACAGATTGAACAGAAACTTGTTCAAACCATCGAGCGGGAAATACAAAAAGTTCAATCGAAGATGGGAACAACTAGAAATGATGAACCGAATGAGAAAAGAGACAACGACGAAAAACTAAGTTGTTTTCTCGATGCTCAGAAGCAAGTGTTGACTGATGCACTCAACCGTCTGCAGCAACAGGCCATGCCATCATCACTTGATCTCATTAAGCAAGTAGTCGCGGAAACACTCAATAGACAACGAGAGCAACTCCAACCGATATCACGACAGGATATCGAACGGCTTGAACGTAATCTGACTGAAACCATCCAACGAGAACTAAAGCAGAGCACTGAAATAGACGATGACATCGATACTCCTGTCCAACCACAAGATATTCACAAACGAAAAACCGAAAAACGAAATGGACCAAAAAATGACAACGAAGATACTCTGAATCGTTTGTTCACAGAACAGAGACAAGCCTTACGAGAGACTCTTGCACAACATCAGTCAACTGTTTCGCTCAATCTTATCAAACGGGCATTGATGGAAGTACTCAGCGAGCAAAGCGACGCAGAGACTACCAAAACCACTAACACTGTAAGTGCATCCAGACATCGAAAAAGGATGACTACCACTACTAACCATGAAGTACCAATTTGTGCGGATCCGAAACAAACGCGTATTGGTGCTGCTTACAGAGAACAACGAGATGCTGTGGTTGCTAAGAAACATCTGCGCGATGCGGTGAAACAATGGTCTAATGTGGCCACCATGTCAGAATTAGTATCGAAAATTAAAGCATGCGGTAAGAATGATTTAGAAAAGGCTTGGCTACTTTTCTGTTGGATCGGTCTAAATATTCGATACGACTCCTACTGCCGAAATAATGCAGCTGAGAGTGTCTTTCAACAACGAACAGGTGTATGCCGCGGTTTTGTTAGTCTTTACCATGAATGTTGCTCACTTCTCTCAATCGAATGTTTAGAAATTTCTGGGTACACAAAACAAGCCTTTCTCAAACCTGGAGAAGATCTCAAAAGTTCGCCACACGCTTGGAATGCAATTGTAATCGATCAATATACATATCTACTCGATCCGACATGGGGCGCTGGTGGTCTTGATAAAACGAATGAATTAGAGGATTTCTACTTTCTAACATCGCCAGAAGAACTAATCTATACTCACTATTGCAATGGACACCAATTGCTAAATCCCGAACTAAGAAAAGAAGAATTTCTTAGCTTACCCGTAATGAAATCGACCTATTATCGATTAAATTTAAACTTACTTTCACCTAAACAAGGTTTCAACGAAACCAGTGAGAATTTATTCAAAATTGCCATTAGAACACCGGAACACGTCGATATTTTCGCTGATTTACACGTAGGTGATGAGAAATATCCGCGTAATTTACATACATTATGCCAACGCGACGAGAAGCAAGCCGATGTGCTGAATTGCTATATAGCTCCACCATCTGATGGATTGTATGAAATATCCATTTTTGCAAAAACCAAGGGCGAAACCACTTTTCGAGATACCATTCATATGCGACTGCACGTTTCAAACTTTGCTGAAGCGATTACTTTTCCTCTCACTTATCAACCATTCACTGAGCACCAATGTATCTTGATTGAACCACGTCGTCGTCTCGTGCACCAGGATGAAAGTGTCTTGATTCATATGAAAATACCCGGTGCAAATGTAATAAAAATTCGTAATGGAGATGATTATATAGTGCCTACCAAAGATGAATACAAGAATGGAGTTCTCAAGAAAGAGACAATAGTGCAAGGTGATATTTCAGTTTGTGGTCGATGGGACGATAAAGCTGACTCGATTTCAACTATTTGTGTTTTCAATATGATTTGATTACTATTTTTCTTCGGACAACATTTTTCTTCGCAGCGAGTTCCATTTCAACTACAATAAGATTTCAATTATTATGAAAATAGCATTAAACTTACATATTTTTGAAACTAAGATATCTTTTGGATATATGGACATGACTGAAGAGAATACTCACAAAGGCACTAACATCCACATGAAATAGATAATTTCTAAACAAAATGATTACTATTGTTTAATATTCATTATGCATATGCTTTACCCAACATTGTTAGAACTCAATGCCTCTTCGCTGAAACAATAGTTTTTAGTCATCCGTCACAGTCTTAGGGTGTGGGTGTGGATCTTGTCT